CTGAAGTTTCGATTGATCCTCTTGACTCTCCTGCGAGCTGCTTAACAACTCTCGTAGTCTTCTTTCTTGTCTGCGTTTGTGTGTGTGTGTCTGTGTGTGCAATTGTGTGTACAAGTGTGTCTGTGTGTGTGTGTGCGCAAGTGTGTGTGTGTGCAAGTATCTATGTGTATGCGTCTGTGTGTGACTCCTCAATGAAATACAGGAGCTAGAATGGCGGATGAACTTACCAATAAGATAAAAATCTCAATAGATTCCAAGCAAATAATGTTTCTCGCTGAGATACGAACGAAAATTAGAAAAAGTCATCTGATATGAAGGAAAGTGAAAATGAAAGTAACAGTCCGATCAACAATAACCTTTTCATTGCTTTCACCGTTTCCGAGTGCTGGTGGTGCTCGTTTTCCAGCTCCATTTCCAGTTCGTGGATCCTTTGCTCCATTCTCTGGACAACCTTGTGGCCGCCCTAGTGAGTAACATCGTTGATGTTGTTGTTTCTTTATCACTTTCGTCTGCTCGCCCTTGGCTTCGATCGGCAGCCAAGTTACGGCGGTGTCGGTAGTGGCGGATATCGTTTTGTCGGAGGAGGTTGCGATTCCGGTTGAGCTGGACTCGACCGACTCGTGAACTTGTTCCTTGGAGCTCTCGATCGCGATCAAACTTTGATTTTGATTTCGGCTCTTAACAAATCGTCGATTGACGGTTACTCGAGTGTTTTTCAGGAGCGATTTGTAGCTGCTGCCGATGAAAGGGTTGCCACCGACGCCCAAAAATTTTACAGGATTTGCTAATGCGGCCTGAGCGCTCAAGTTGGTCAGTGCCAAATGCAACTGCAACGCGTTCAACTTTGGCGGGTTGGTTAACCGAATGCTGTTTTTTGAAGTCAAGCTGTCGAGAGAGGTTTTAAAGTTGTCGCGATTTTGTAGGCTGTTCATACCGCGCAAATTCTGAGGATCGAAGAAAACGGTCGATTGTAACATTTCGTTTTGTTCGTGTAGCTGAAAACGCCGTTGTTGTTGCTGCTGTGGCGGCTGGTAATGATGTTGCAGTTGTTGCTCCTGCAAATAATGCGTCTCTTGGTGCTGTTGCTGGGTTTGTTGAAGCGGCTGCAATTGCATTAAATGTGGTTGCTGAAGCTGTTGCGGTTGTAGCAATTGCATCAGATGTGGCTGTTGCTGCTGCTGCAGTTGTTGCTGCGCTGGTGGTTGTAGTTGATGCGTTTGCTTTAAATGTTGTTGTTGCCGGTGCTGCTGTTGTGGCTGCGTTGATTGCGTTAACATCTCTTGTTGTTTCTGCGGTTGCTGATGTGACTGCTGCTGCTTCTGCTGCGGTTGATTTTGCGGCTGCGATTGTTGTTGCAACTGCATCACTTGTTGCCTCAACTGTTCTTGCAGATTTTGTTCTTGTTGTTGATTAAATAGTAGATGGCGCTCCCCTTGCAACTGCTGCTGATACACTGATTGCTGGTTTCGAAGCTGAAACCGTTGCACTGGCTGTTGTTGCGTGCGTGCGTGAGTTAAAATAAATTATATAGCGCAAACATCGTCTGCTGTAAAATAACAACTTGCGCAGTGCAACAAACGATTGTTTTGTATCAACGAAACTCTTTTTTTTTGAACAAAAAACTGTAAATGCTACATTGTCGACCAGGATAAAACTATACAACGTAAAGCTCAAAATTATATAGCTTAAAACATTGAGGTTGAAGTAATTACAAATATCTTTTATACAGGACTGGCCAAACTGCGGTTCACGAGTAACTTGCGGCTCTTTGAATGATTATTATTTGTGTCTACCAATAAATCTACCCGAGATTCCTTGTTTGTTACAATATTTAAAAACTTCTCATCGTCCCGTGTCAGTGCATTTCAAAACGTCTTTTAAATTACAAACAACGAATGCGGAAGACGAAGTTCAACGCTGTGTAATAAATTTCATTTCTGTCCAGGTTGATTAAGGATGATGTTACCCGTCGAAAAAGACGCGAGCAAAGATATACAGCGGCGTAATCGTCTGCAATCGACCAACTGTCAGATTGTGAACTTATAAGCTGTCACTGCAAAGGGCAGTTGGTATTGAATTATCTGGAGCTAGTGAACGTCCGTCAGCACTGAAGTTTCGCGATTATAACATTCGGGGAGAGAAAAATATAGTGGAAGAAAGGAAATATTTTAACGAGGTAAATAAAAAAGTGAACCTTATAATGCAACCTTATGACGAAAAACGATGGACTAAGCACTAACATCGTTATCAATTTGTTTAGGTTGAATAAAAATTTATAAAAAAAAATTTTATAACATTTTCTGAATACCTTTTAAGCAATTATTAAATTGCAGCTGGCGAAAAAATTCGAATTTTGAAAAAGGGCTCGTAATACGAAAGAGCTTGGCCACACCTCTGGCATACTTATACTCATTTCTATCGTTATTTTTCTATCTTAATTGGCACGCGGATTTGAAAGCGCTTCACAAATGACATATTTTCATCACAATTCATCGTCATAATTTTCATCATTATTATTCTCCACCACCATCAGCGGCAACCATCGCTAATCGCATACGTCGCCGTCGTCACTACAACCTGCATCGCCGCGGCTTCAACTTCATGTAGTTTCGATTGCAGATCCTTCATCCTGTTCTCGAGACTTCTACTGTTTCTATCAATCTCGGCGCCCCTCTCCTGCTCTAACCTCAATTCCTCAGCCAATAGAGAGGCCTCTTCCATGGCCTTACGTGATTGGTCGGTTAACTGGGTCAGTTCGGTGCATTTGTCTTCTAGGTCAGACTGAATTTGGGTGAAAAATAGTATATAATGTGGTATAGGCGGTCTCTCTATCTTCTTCATCATCGTCATCATTCATTATCATTTGATGTCTAGGCAAAATTCTTTTCATTTAGCATTGTTTAAAACTGTGTGACAGATTGAAGCAAATTGTTCCAGAGAAAGATTTTAGAAGAGAGTTTAAAAGTTATTTGTTCAACGAAGCATTTAATAACAGTACAATCCCCTGAGGAATGCCAATAGAGTGAATAACATAATAATAACAATAATAATAATAATAATATTTAACATCAAGCCCGCCATTACATTGTCATCAAGCATATTATCATCACTGTTATCATCAATCATCACTGAAGTTATCTCTATCGATCATCATGATCATCATCAACAACAACAACGCCCTA